TGGAATGATAAATGTTAAAATCTACTAAATCCCTATTTTAACGAATTATTTATTTATTATTTTAACTTGGAATAACAGTAATAAATGCTGTCGGTTATTCAATACTTTATAACAGTAATAATTACAGTCGGTTATTCAATATTGTATCAATAATAATAATTGAAGGGTACTTGTCTAAGCTATGCGATGCTTACAAATTAGGTGCTCAGTGATCTACTATAGACACTGTAGAGCTCCGAACGCTATTGCTACAGTTACACGGAATACTACTTTTATAGCAACTTTACTAAATTATGTTACTTTTGTAGCAGTTTTACTGAATGTTAGTGTCGGAGCAGTTTTAGTAAATGCTACATTTGTAGCACTTGTACTCAATGCTACTTTTGTAGCTGTTTTACAAAATGTTACTGCTGTAGCAGTTTTACTGCATGTTACTCTTACAGCTAATTTGATAAACTGAACATCAGGGATTTATCTCCCCTTGTTTTCGTTACCCCTGTTCCAAAATAAATGCCCTGAATTACTGCCCTTGTACCTCCTTGACCTCCACTTTCAACATGTATCTTACATACGCCCAACACACTACTCTTTCCATTTCCCAGGAGTAATCCCCCCTGGCTCAGTCGATCGCCGCCCTTGTAATTAATCATTAACCCCCCCCCCCCCCATCCTTGCCCACCTCTCACCGACTGGTCGGTCAACGTCAAAGACATTTCCTTGCCCACCAGTCTGTTGAAGTCATCAATAATTTATCTGCCCCCCCCCCTCCCACCTCCCTTCCACCTCTTCACTCTCCGCTGTTTTATCCCTTGTCAAAAATAATGTGTTGCCTGTCGTCACAGATTGGCGTATAACAAGACCATTGCGGTAGGAATTAAAGTAAACAGTGAGGGTTTAGAGAACTAGTAAGGATTAAGGCAAAAAGTGAGAATAAAGAGATATCAGTAAAGAATGTAGTATGAGAGAAACAATAAGAGGAAGAGTAATAATTAAGGAAATGTACGGATTAAGAGGAAACAGTAAGGATTAAGAAAAAATAGTAAGAATTTAATGTGAGATAAACATTTAGGATTAAGAGTATATTAACGATTAATGGGAGTAGTAAAAGATAGTATTAAGTTGATTAATGGAACAAGAGGTTCTGATAGCAAATTGTTTTTTAAGACCTCAGGTTCGCATATTCATGACAGATTTTGTTTTCTTACACCTGAGCGTTATTATTTATCTGTTTCTAATTAGTGTATCATCTTGATCTTATTGTGCTGATGAATGTATCATTAAGGGTTCTATTGATTAGCCTCCCATCAGACAGTTATACAAAAACATTGCGTATGGCTCAACAATAGATCGCGATATGATGGTTTGGCTATCTGTGTAGATCTCCTAGTCTTTATATATTGTTTAACCTTATCCTAGTGTGTGTGTCTCCGTGAATTCTGTACGGGCTAGAGCAGCTAGTACCAGTGCGTAGCCAGGATCGTCTCAAGGTGGGGTTCCAATTTTTACCCGGGGACAAACTTTCGATTTGCACCCCCCCCCCTCAAACTTTCGATTTGCACCCCCCCCCCCTCAAACTTTCGATTTGCACCCCCCCCCTCCTCAAACTTTCGATTTGCACCCCCCTCCTAAAACTTTCGATTTGCGCACCCCCCCGCCCCTCAAACTTTCGATTTGCACCCCCCTCATATTTTATATATATACCGAGGGGTCTATGGGGGGGGGTTATGACCCCCCTAACCCACCCACCCCCCCCCCTTGCCTACGCCACTGGCTAGTACATTGCCTGATTCGTGTTTTAAGCCCTCCATTTCTTTGTTATCTCTGAATGAGATGTCGTTTGATGACTCTACCATATACTGCCTTAGACTAATCCTGCACTTACGCCCCCGTCTACAGATGGTCACTTTTACTAGCAACCCTGATCATACCAGCGATACCTCTACCATGTAAAATCAGAAGAACGATTTTTAAAAACGTTTCAAGATATATTTTTTTGTTTCTGGAAAATTTTATAATACAATATATAAATATTTATTTTTTTGACGAGTACGTCATTATGTCATTAGATTCTACTGACTGTCAAAGTTCAGAGGTGGGCTAAGGCCCCCGGGATACCGGGGAAACCCCGATATGGTCCAGGAAAAGTGATTGAAAGACCTATTAGTGTTTTTTTTAAATAATGTATGTAATAAGATTTGTATTTTTTTCCGGGCCATTTGGACCCAGTTACTCTACCACTGTCAGCGTTCAAATACAGGTTACTTGGTGTAGGGTGTATACGGTACTTTTTTAACTCAAAGGTTATGGGTTAGTAAATGGCGCTATGGCTACAGGTTGAGAACCTGTTGCATTAATAAAGATACACATTTTATTTTGTTTGCTGAAATATAAGATCAGATAATTATAATTAACCTAATTATGTTTACTGCAGTCTAACATGGGCTAACACTACAGGTAATATAACAGAGATTTAGTTACGACAAGTAAATGAATTGCTAATGTTACAGTTTAGAAGTTGTGTTGTTTTTATGGGCTGTGTGTTTGAGTACAAAAAGGCCTTTATGTGGAGATTGATTGTTCTTATAGAATTACGTCACTTGTAAACTTGTTAAAATTGACATGCTCCAACAAAAACTGATAAACCAGTAGAAATATTCTTTAGAGTACAAAACGGGTAGTTTCTGGAAATTAACATTTGCCTAAAGTATAATCACAAAACGGGTCGTGGACAAAAAATTTACTTTTCCCTACATATGAACTCTACTTCATCGGCCGAAGGGATCGCTAAGTCTAAAGAGGAATCTTTAACAGAACAAAGTTCCCTAACCTAGCTGTTTATAAAAGACACCAAAAAAAAACAGGAGCCGATGAACATCTATCTTGTAAAAATCAAATGACGAATCGCTTATTCTAAAGAGCAATCTTTATCAGAACAAGTTTACTTTAACCAGCTGTACAAAAAAGCAGGAGCCAATGACCATCTGTCTTATAAAGATCAAATGACGGATCGCCAGCCTCTAGCCTGTTGTCGTCGCCTAGCTTTAATTGTCACAAAGTGACAGAGAGCTAAAGCTTCCGGACGACTAATTCCCAAAGCATGCCAGCTAAGCTGGGGCCTAGCAGACGACACGACAAACGTGCCAGCTAGGCGTTAATAATCTCATCGCTGCCTTATTTTCTATTGGTTCACAACACGCGAGCGGAAATCAAATTCCAAAAATCTGCTCGGTGCACGCATGCGCGTTGAGTCTATTAAGATCTGGTTTAGACTGTACAAATGTTACGATTGAAGTTACCCTGAAAATAAAAATAATACGAGTTTTGAGTACAGTTCATTGCCATCGAATACTCTTTTTTATTGTTCGTTTAGAAAAATCTGATGCGCGTGTTCTGACGTGTGAGGTTGAATCTAAGCTGGTCACGTGATATGGAGATGACGTAAACCATCTCCATGGAGATCAAGTTACCTTGAGACAAAAGTCCCCATTGAGATGAATTCACCAGGAGATAATGAAACATTTTACAACGCTGAAACAATCAGACATGAAAAGAAAAAAAAATTAAAATATTCTCGTAACTTGAGCTGGCTGTGTTTTTTTGTGCTGCTCGTGTACATTTACTGAGGGATGTTGCATTTTACTTTAAAAGCAACCTTTAAAATGTTGCAACGTGAGTTACACAAATTTAACCAAACTTTGAAGCTAGGCAAAGGTCCATGAGTCCACACAGCGGCTGGGCATAGTGCTGACTACACTACCCTTTCATATGCCCAGGTCACAGAAACAGGTGAACTCTACTTCACTTGTCCCATGGACCGTCAGGTTCGGAAAGGGAACAAGGCATACGATTTTTGTTTGACATTAACTTTGCAAGATAGATGTTGTGATTTTATGCGTGTTGACGTGTCTTGAATCAAATTTTACTTCCTTTGACTTTTAACGCAAATTTTAATTCAAACTCATTTGTGTTTTATATAAAACTATACGACAAACTCGAAAGCAATTATATTTTGTTTCTTTAAAACTTTATAACAAAAATTAGAACATCACCAGAAATAAATAAATGCATAGTAAAAATAAGGCCTAAGGGGATCAAAAGTAAGAAATCGACCCAGCATTTCGTTGTTTCTTAACAACATAGTCAATATGTTGTTTGCTACCGAACTTAATGAATTCCAGGCCATGAAGCGGTTGTGAGGGGGCGGGGCGGGGTGGGGGGCTTGATGGTTGTTTTGTGTTGTGCCTTTATATTTTTATAAGACACAAATCAGGTGATGTAACAAGATATCACAAATCAGGGGATGTAACAAGATAAACTTTATTACTTTTTGAGAAAAAAGTATGATTTTTTTTATACAATACGAGCCAACCCGCGGCATATCATATGCCGCTATTTAGTTGTTTTATTTTCTACTTTTCAGTAATTTATAATTTCTGAATTCGACAGTACCAATGCTGCCATTGAAAATATTTGCTTTAAAACACTATCAGTAGGTCGTTAAGAACGATACTACCCCCACCCTACTTTCCCCCAACCCCTACCCTCCTTTCCCCCAACCCCTACCCTACACCGCCCCCCCCCCCCCCCGTGAAAGCAGCCTCCTCCTAGTTAACTCCCCTAAATTTAAAATCGTTTCAAACTAAATTATCTGCCCCTAATAGCCGTCACTAAACCCGGCTCTATGAATGTAAACATTTAGCGTGAACCACAGCTCACCATACCATGTAGGGGTGGGGTGGTAGGGAGCGCGCTTACAGCTTGTTTTCTAGCGACTCCCAGAAGAGAATTATATATATAGATTCTTTGTTTTGCTAAGAGTTTTCAATTTTATTCGGTTTCTCAAAACAATCGTACTAATTTTAATTAAATTAATGACAGTTTTTCAAACAATTTAGATGTTATGTAATGTAATGATGGTTTTCTCTTTACGAAAAAAAATCTCGGTGAAGTTAATCTAAAATATATTCTTGAGGTTGTAACATTAGCACGTTTCTCCACAGATCCAATCAATTGTTACATATGTAACGGCACAGCCGAGAACAGTACATGCTCAGATCCACTAGACGTCAACCACTCAGGTGTGATGATCAAAGAGTGTATCAAAGGCATCTGTCTCAAATGGACCAAGTACAAAGGAGGTAACATTAAATTGTGCTTCGAGAGTTTATTCAAATTTAACATAATTAGCTGCCAAAGAGCGTGGAGAATGGGTGCACATAAGTTTACATCACTTGTTTTTCTTTTCACTCTAACCATTAAATATACACGCTAAAAATGTGCATACGGATACCTTTCCAGAATAATGCGTTTTGTACCAACGTTTTGGATTTTAAAAATAAAAATCAAATGTATTTAACATAACCTAGAAAATGGACGATATAGGTAGTTGTAATTGTACTAAATACAACATAAAGTGGGGGGGGGGGGAGAAGTTGACGTCATCACCTTAATGAAGTGTTTACTCCAAACATCTGTTGAGCAGCACAAAACATCCAACGGTTTTAGCAACGTGTCGAACTGGTGGCTGTTGTCTGTCTGACATACGTCTGGCAGGTGGTACCGTCGTTAGGAAGACAAGACTTCATGACATGCCTTCTGTTGGTTTAAATATAGCCCAACTCTCGCATGCTTCTGTGAGATCTATATTATTTTTTGTTTTTACTTTATGGAATTTTAGCTTAGCATTCTATGCTGAAGCAGTTTAAACCCTCTGTTACTTCTTTTTTTTTACTTTTTACTTACATCTAGTCCAACCAGCAAATGTGGGTTATTTTTTCCTTTCGCCATCCCTGAGTGATTCAACTGGAATTTTTACCTTTTACCATCCCTGAGTAGCAGGACTTTTTACTTTTAACCATCCCTATCTGAGTAACATGAATTTTTAGTAATCACCATCCCTGACTGAGGAACGTGATGATTTTTACCTTTCACTATCCCAGTGTGATGGAACAGGATTTTTTACCTTTCACCATTCCGGACAGAGGAACAGGAATTTTTACTTTTCACTATCCCAGTGTGATGGAACAGGAATTTTTACTTTTCACTATTCCTATCTGAGAAACAGGAATGTTTACCTTTCACCATCCTAATGTGATGGAACAGGAATTTTTACCTTTTACCATCCCAGTGTGAGGGACAGGAATTTTTTTTTCACGTCCAAAGCTCGACGTTCTAAAAATATCTTAACATGGCTGCCATGCCCACCACCTGACGAGGAAAAAAAAGCACACGCGAAATATTTTAAAACAACCAGACTTTGCCGCTCACACTTCTGAAGAATTTCCCAGGCCATGTCTGTAGATCTCTCTAGAGCTGAGTTTTACCTTTCGGCACTACGGGCAAAATCTCCACTTCCGACATCTGTGTAGCAACTAGTGGCGACCCCCCCCCCTTCCCTCCCCTCTATCTCTCGCCAGTATATGGACAGCCGTGTATCACGTGATACCCGGACCCCCACAGGTACGTAACGCCACGTAATGAACGGCGAAAATTCAGATGACCACTGGTCATCCAGAGGGAATAAGAAAGCAGGACGTGGATCAGAGCAGTAATATTGCAACCTCTCTATACCAGGGGTCGGCAACCTGCGGCTCGCGAGCCGCATGCGGCTCTTTTGATATCAAGATGCGGCTCTCCAGCTCCTTGAACAAATACTAATAATCTTAATAAAAAAATAAAATGTTTGAAATAAAAAAAATGTTAGTGGCTCTTTAAAACCAGGGAAATTTTGAAAATTGTAACTTTTGGCTCTTCAGCTTCAAAAGGTTGCCGACCCCTGCTCTATACCATTTTGTTTGTTTTCACGAAATATTTGTTTACTTGCGACAAATACGTAACGCTATCTTTTTAATATGTTGCTAAGCTATAACATTAAGACGTGTGCTTTATGGAATCTTTTATGTCATTGAATTCAATGTCTTTAAAGTACACATTAAAACTAAGTAAACAAAGTACCCTACTTTTATTTTCTTGGAGTTACAAGATCTAATTATACTGGAGATGTCACTTAGTGTAAATCACTTCTTAAATTGTTTTATTTTTTTATCTTTTATCTGATTTTCCCCCTACCGTTGCTTTTGATGAAGATCAATTTACGACAACGTTTCCACCCCTGATATTAAAAAAAACATATGCTGACTTACGTGTTTCGTCATGCTCCGAAATATTTACATAAAATAAAATGAAGCTGTCAAAAACAACTAGTAAAGTGTAACAACCGACATCGTAGGGAAAGTTCGTGAAAGCAATTTTTTTTCCCTCATAAAATTTCTTTGAAGAATTTACGTTAGAAATAGATTTAGATGAAAAGGTGTGAAAAAACTTTGTTGTGCTCTGATTTCAAAAAAAAATTTTAAGTTTTAAAGTTGGCGTTAATATAAAAGCTGCAACAGCATTAAGTCTTTTATTTTAAAAAGCAGTTTGTTGAGTTGATTTTGATGGATGAAGGGATTGTGTGGTCAGCTACCTGTGTTGTCGACATCTCAGGTCAGGTACCAATTACAGCTGCGTCTAGCTCAATGAGAAATGGATTATTCGAATCCGGAAAACTGAAGTGTTTTCAATAAATTGTTTTTTTTCGCTGACTCAACAAAATGCTACTTCAATAAATTATTTCTTGTCTAGCTCAACAAAATGCTTCGTCAGTAAATTATTTCTTGTCTAGCTCAACAAAATGCCACGTCAGTAAATTATTTCTTGTCTTGCTCAACAAAATGAAACTCCTACACAACTTGGCTTTAAGAAAATCTCCTATCAAATTTCACTTGTTCTAAAATTAGCCACTCTCATCACGATCTACAAGCATTAGATCTGAAGTTTTGAAATCTCCACGTTAAAATTCCGAAACATGATATGTTGGAGGGGGGGGGGGGGGGTATTTCTATGTCCTATTATTATGACACTTGTAAACTAAACTCGCATTGTTACGTGTTAAACAAAAACATCAAAGCGACTTGGGTATTGTTTTATTTTTAGTAAAATCCTATGAGTCCGGTGTGGCCGGGCGGTAGAGTTTAAGACTGCTGACTTGAAATCAGGAAACAGGTGAACTCTACTTCCGCCCTATCAACCCACTGGTCCGAAAGGGTATTACTCTATCTAGCAGAGCGTTAAACTCAGATGAGAAAGTCTCAAAACAAAACACCTTACGCACGTTAATTCTTCAGTACTTTCGTATTGTTTTCATTTTTAATTTTTTAAACTTATTTTTTTGTTTAAATCTGCAATTTTGATTAGTTTTTAAGTATTACGAACAGAAGTAGATAGTTACCTGAAGTCGACACCTCAAGCTAAAAAGAGACATCCCTTGAACATTCTCGCATTTTGTTTTATAACAGTAAGCCTACGTGTTGTGATGACACTTCCAGTAAAATCTGGCTATGGGGATGTTTGGTACAAAACTTCAAACAACCTTATGAAATAGTTGTCACATTGCCATCACCAGCTTACGAGTGGGAAAAAAATCAGCAAGAAAAACTGGAAAAACATTTCCCACCAACATTTGGTGGAGCAAATATTTTATTGTTTCTATTTATAGCATGCCTAATGCTCGTGTTTACGTCGGTGCTGTAATGGCGTGCATTTATTCCCGCGGTAAATCTAAATACCATACCTGAGCGTCGCGATGGTATTTCTAAACACCGGTAGATTAACATGTAACATGGTTACCATCCAAAAACGAATACATGAGGTTTTGGCAACGCTGGCTAATGAAGACGTTATGTGGTAATTATAAACGCCCACACTCTCCTGCAAATTATACAAAATATTTTCTTAAAAACCCAATCCCATCCTACAAATGACAATTATAAATTTTAAAATAAAGAGTAAGTACATTTGTGTTTATTTAACTGTTATGTTAAATAGAGGATATTTAGTTTTTCGTAAAAACTAAATAGCCTCCCTTTACTCAAAAGTTGTCTTATCCTAGCAATTAAATTCTTGGCACAGGTTTCCCCAGTACTTGCCTTATCTCCTTTTGTCGGTGCTGGTACCTGTTCTGTTCCACTCCTTTAACGTTGGGGAACTCTAACGTTGTATCGTATCCTATAATTAGGACACTGGTGTTACAACAACTAGATCATACGTTATGTTTATGTTGTTGTGACCTTTGTTGTTATTGTTGTTGTGACTTATGTAGTTGTGACTTTTGTTGTTGTTGTTGTGAATTTTGTTATTGTTGTTGTTGTGACTCTGGTTGATGTTGTTGTGACTTGTGTAGTTGTTGTTGTGACTGCTGTTTTAAACATTACCAGCATGTTTCCGTTTCTTAATGAACAAGTTGTTGTTTTAATGTTGTTGTTTTGATGTAGAAATTACATATTTATTGTAAAAGATATATGATTTAGTGAACGCTATTTATTTAACTTGAAGTGTGAGACAGATAGTTAAGCTAACTTCTAACCTGATTGGCTCGAGTTCGGATACCTGGCTTTGTCCACGCTGAGTCCACCCAGCTCTGGTGGGTACCTGACCCTCGTTAGGGAATGTTAAGCCGGTTGGGCTGAGTACTGGCCACAATATCGCGTCGTATGCCAGGTTAGAGAATCAGTTGAAATCTAATTCATCTGCACCATAATCAGCAGGTTCGAAAGAGTAACATTGTTTAAACTGAAATAATACAAATAAATTTGTATTCATAGTTTTTGTCAAAGATTTGAAAAATTAATCAAGGTTGATTATTAATTAATATTAATTAATTTATATTCGTAGTTTAATGTGCATGTATAACCAATATTTTATTACGCGTGCTGTCAGATAATTTGAGTACATTTTGTAAGCGCATGTTGACTCAGAATCAGCTTCCTCTCGGTATTAAAAGCTGTGTTTACATCTAAAATTCCAGACCAGGTGTTCTCGAAAAAAAAATTTAAATGAACTCTAGCAGAAAACAAAATGCGACGTGGGTTTGGCATATACTTTATTAAACTAAAATCCCATTCTAAATATGTTCTTCCTGTTTATCTGCGCATGCGCGTGATATATAACACCAGCAAGTGGTAATGCCAGCTTGACATCATTCAACAAATCAACATTGTTATTGTAATGTAGATACACCGTATGCAGTTTTCCCCCTTTGAATTTAATATGCCCAGCGCTCTTCACTAAAAGTATTTCCTATTAGCCTGATACAATGTTCAGGTAAATGAAATTTAGCAGTATAAAAACATGCCTGTTACCCCATCAAAATTTGGCTGTCTGCGCTTCGACCTCTGATAAGCTCAGATATTTTTAATTACCCTTTTATAAACATAACCGGTGATGTTCTTTTATTTTTTAGCAGGTAACAGAACAAAATGCAAGACCGTTGCAATCTTTTTTCCTCACTTAGACTTTGCACTGTCTTTCATCAAATATAAAGCGTGCTTCGGCGTGGCGTCGGTTTAAAAATAGCCTCGTTGAACTCAGCTCGCAATTTTAGTTATCTCGCGTATTGGAATGTTCGTATCTGTCACTACTTAGTTAAAATCTCCATGCTGCGGATGCTCCCTTGCGCATCTCGCGAAAATACGAGCGTGGGTTCCTATTGGCTATTGACGCTGTGGCCGACCTCCTGTTCGCGAGATGTCAAGAGCTGTGTTCGCAGACGACCACATGGAGAGTATTAATATTTACTTACAGATGTGGATCGGTTGCGTGGGGAGGTATATGGATTTCTGGCACGTTGCAGACTTGCGTTTTTTAGCAGTCACATGATGGGACGTCATGGTGATCCTTGCACGTTGTAGAAGTATATTTGTTCTTGCGGCCGTATGATTGGACGTTATGGTGATCCTTGCACGTTGTAGAAGTATATTTGTTCTTGCGGCCGTTTGATGGGACGCCTTGTGAGTCCTTGCACACTGTAGGCACATTGTAGATGTGCACGTTTTGGCAGTTATATGATGGAGTATTGGGCATGTCTTTAGCACGTGGCTAGTTTATTTTTTCATGCATTGTGAAGTAGGGTCATGAGTCTTTGTTGCTCATTAGTAGAGCATACTTCCATTCTAATAAGTATTAATGTACGGGGTTTATCTATATGAGAGGCGAATTTTGGACATATATTCAGGGTACTTTATTTATAAACAAAATTTATCATTTAATACTGTTGGCTTTTAAAATAAAATCCTTATGTTTTTCAATACTGCTCAATAGTATATATCCCTTCTCTTGTAACACGTCTTTGGTACTTAAAAGTCTTGTATCTACGTATGCACATAACAGCTGCAGTTCTTACAATTACCGTGTCCTCTAAACGCCGTTTGCAAGAGAAGAAAAAAACTCCCTACTTTAGGGTCAAGTTCTGCTCCCATAATTCCACATGCGCCCTTTACCACAGTTGTATATCTTTGGGTCTGTCCGTCTCCCTGATATCTCTAGCCTTCTCTGTTGTGTTTCAGTAATCTGGGGTTCAAGCTTCAAAACTCTGTGTGATTACATGCAGAAGTTAACTCTCCCTGTTGAAATGTTAAACGATCCCCTGGGGTTTAACTGTTTATCCACCACCAGCAGGGAGAGTTACGCAATGATCCAGCGAGTTTTCCACAAGATTTTTATATATTTCACAGCTGATCGACCTTTTTTTAGAAATAATTTATAATCTAGTTCCTTTTTTTATTTTTCTTGTGAATGTGTGTTAAATGTCATATTTATAATGAATTCTGCTTTCTTCAAGGGACTCCGAAAAAAATGTTGAAATGTTAAACTCAGGAAAAATATCGTCTTTTTTCTAGCCGAGAAACTGGTTTTGGGATAATTCTCTATTAATCTAATTGTATTTCTATAACTACCTAGTCTAGAATTCGTGGAGTGGTTTCTTTTTTTAGAAGTTAAAATGAAACTATATTAGTAAGTAACGATGACGAAACACATAACCCATCTACAGGAGCTTTCCAGGCATCTCTGTACTGGGCTAGTCTATCCATCTTTCCCATGTGGGTCTAATCTTCTCGTTGTCTTGTACCAGATCATGTCTCCAGGTCTTCCTTGGTCGGTCTCTTTTCATTTTGCCCTGTGGATTCCAGGTGAGGGTCTGCCTTGTGATTGGTGGATGCAGGCTTCCTGTGTTTGTCACATCACATCAACCAGACTGTTATCGCCAGGAATAATACACACACCCGTGACAAAAACCTGTTGCCTGTTGTTGGAAAACAAAAGAACTAACGTCTCTTATACAATGCTCTCAGTCGATGTGACCGCCCTTTTTGAGTCGGTGTTTCTATAAGTCTCCGTCACACTAACCAACCCTATGCTCATACTTAATTAAGTTATTATTCTTACTTTATATTGGATTGTACAACATTGTTTTGGGCTTGAATAGGGGTTGGTCAATCGTATCATTGACCATATCCAAAGATTCATGTTGCGTTAAGAACGGTAGTTTTAATCCTAAGGATTATGCTTAGGATTTACCAGCAATATTGTCACGCACATGAGCAATTCTCGATTTCGCTTCATTTCCTTATACAGGCTATTTATTTAAGCAAAACTAAATGTCGCTTTCCCCCCCCCCCTCCCTCCCTTAGACTTGAGTTTTATGGATAAGGTCAAGGTCAAGTTTTGGGTCAAAGTATAGTTGTTTGCCATCTCAGAGAGAAAAAACGTATACGCCGCTACGTTAAAGTATTAACAAACATCAAGTTTTCTACAGAGTAAGTGAAAGCAGAAGGGGTCATCCATAAATGACGTCACGCTTTTTTGACGATGTTTACCTCCCCCTCCGTCACACATCGTCACAAAAAGCCAGTCCCCCACCCCTAAAATGACGTCACACCTCAGCCTACAAACCCACCCCCTCAAAATTGCAGTTGAATTTTTATTAAAACATCGATATTTTTCCAAATTCTTGTCTGAACTCTGTCTATATAGAGTATTTTAATCAATTCCTATTGCAATTTATTAAAACAGTTTACTAAAAACCCGATATAACGTCTAAAATTAGTTTTCTAACATGGCATTTTTATAAAGCAAAAATGTGACGTCGCACCATCTGAACCCCACCCCCTCCCTCCCCCTCATCACACACCGTCACAAAATTACCGACCCCCCCCCCCTCCCGCTACGAGTGTGACGTCATTTATGGACGACCCCAAAGTCCAATCTTTTGCCAGATTTAATTAATGTTTTTCTTCATTTTTCCCGCCAGGTGTTCTGCAGATGATTCGCCAGTGCAGCGCTGACCTCGACTTCCACCTGACGATGATTGACGGCGTCTGCCGTACAGAGAGAAACGGCAACGGCTACCTCTGTATGTGCGGCAAGCATCGCTGCAACTCTGTATCGGGACGCTCGGGCGGTATCGATTACCGAACCCCTTTCACTATAATACTCCTGTTGGCGTCTCTCATTCTGTTACTCAAATTGACAACGTAATACTCAACGATTCCATGATAAAGACGACTTCATGTTGTTTAAAAATCGCAATGAGCCGATACTCAAATAAGTGCAAATTTAAACCGGAAATTTTAAAAATTGAAGTTACTGGTGGCGGCTGTGAGTGGTAAATGTATAATTTTTTTTACCGGGACAATCTACGATTTCAACCTAACGGCTGTATAAAGAACTCTATTCAACCTTACGGCTGTATAACAGTTCAGGTATTAACAGCCTCGAACACAACGCTGGAAAAAAAAAATATTTTGGAAATTGTTTTCCAAAAATGCAAATTTGCAAAAATGACAGGAATTTTTAGTATTGAAATGTAATGTTAAATTATATGGTGTTGAATTTATTAATTAATGTAATATTTTAATGGATTTATTAACTTTTATAGAAGTTTTATGTAACATGTCCTACATTAGTAATACATCTAAGAAGATGTAACTAACTTTTTTTTAATGTCACTGTTAGATTGATAACTAATTCACATTTTTCCGAGTTGACTAATTCACATTTTTGCTAAGTTCTGAGTTTCAGTGAATTTAAAAAATTAAAAAAATAGCAACGGCTAATGTAGCAGTGATGAGTAGTCCATGTTGAGTCTTCTTCACTTGATGATTCTATCGACTGGCATTCAGCTGACCAATGGCAACACTAACGATTAACAAAATGATCCGACACTGTCTGAATCGTCATACTGTGTGTGTCCAGTTGAGGTTGCGATATTTTGGACTGACCCCCTCTTCCTCCCCCCCCCTCCCCCCCCCCCCCCCCCCCCTCTGCTCATTGCAAATTTGGATGCTGCAACAAAAGCAAACTGTGATCCAGTGATTTTTCTTTATTAGAGTTATAGGCCTTCGTTTACAAGAAGAAAATAAGTTGATAGTCGTTTTGGTTGTTTTGCTGTTGTTTTTTAACTCTAAAAAAACAATGTTAACTCTTTATTTAGGCAGTTGTTGTTTTTATTTTAATTTTAAAATTGAAGTTAATGTCAAATTTAAAAAATTAATATAGTTTTTGTCATTTTTAATTGATGTAATATTCCAATTTTAAAAGGCTGCTTCCACTTACCGAGAAGGAATTTTAGAGTCGTAGTCGAGAATTTACTTTAAAATGGGTCTAACTATTTGGAGTACCTGTCTAAGGCTAAATCTGCAATTGTTGCAATTGACCTGGCTAAGATAACCTAATTTCCCTGGTGGCTTCTGTTAACACTCATTGTTAAGCTGACTGTTAACACTCTATGTTAACCAGACTGTTAACATTCTATGTTAAACTGAGTGTTAACATTCTGTTCAGCTGACTGTTAACATTCTATGTTAAGCTGACTGTTAACATTCTATGTTAACCAGACTGTTAACATTCTATGTTAAACTGAGTGTTAACATTCTGTTCAGCTGACTGTTAACATTCTATGTTAATCTGAGTGTTAACATTCTATGTTAAACTGAGTTTTAACTTTTTCTAGTTCAATTTTTAATTTACATTTTGTTTACTAACACTAGCGTACCAGTGAAATTAATTAGTTAATTAATTAATTAATTAACCCTTTCTTAGATGAATCTGTTGTTTGTCCCAGGTAGCGTAGTGCCATACCTCTGTTTTTACCTCTTTGTTCCAAACTAACAACGATTGGCCTGGGTGTTCGCCCGTGGTTGTCTAACTCACACCCACGTTATGATACCGATATAGACCGTCTTTATCTGATCGTATGTTCTATTACTGAATACATATGCACAATTTATTGTTAGATTGTATGTTGTTAACGACATTGATACTCCATTTGATATGAAACCCTCCTATATTTCATGTGCAGAACATTTCGTTGTTTTCATATAGTATTTACAATTGAATAATTTTAGAATACATCAACCTACTAAACTTTGTTTTGTAAAGAAACTTAAAGTGGAATGTGATTTGGGTTAACAATAAAAGTGAAGTATTATCTATATTTAAAAAATTAAAAAGAAACAAATGTTAATTGAGCTACCGTATCTAAAAAAAAATAAACTTCAATTAAGAGTAATTATTTTAACCAAAAAAATATCTTTTGGTGAGGATTTGATTTTTTAATTAACTATTTTTAAATTTTGTGTTCCCTGTGATGAAAACATGCATCAGGTGTATTTGTTTTCACACCTGTATTTATTAAAAGCTGAGCTAAAATGTGGTTTTCTAATTACCTGTCCGATAAAACTTACAGTGGACTCAGTACTTTTCAATCCTTCCTGTACATATAGCCATTATTGTATTCAATCTAAACCTGTGATTGCTATGTTAAATAATCTTTGTGGATTTTAAAATAATGAATGTGACTTTTTTAGAATTAGAGTTTCACTAAAATATGCAAAGTTTCAATGGAACCATATTTAAGGCACCAAAGAAATTTAATTTAAACTTCAAAGCACTGATTTATTTTTCAACTTTCTTAAAAATGTAAAGATGAATCTATCACATTTTTAAAATTGTATTTATGATCTGACATATTTGTTTTTAAAACTAAAAGTTAAGAACAAAAAAAAAAGAAAAACATGTTTTACTAATTTTATTACTTAACTATTAGTGAGCACTTTTAACAGATAAAGAGCAACAAAGATTTTCTAAATAACATTTCTATTTTCACTATTTCAGGGAAATTGAATTTATAAAACTTTCCTACAGGAGAGTCAGATAAGGCTGATTGTTTGATTGTTTCCCCACCTCTATCTATTCACCATCATTCCATCAACGTCATACTCTCTATTTATAAAACATTTATAGTCATATTGCTAATGTTTTCTTAGTCTTGTTAGTTTTCTTCATTCAAATTCATGTAATCTGAATGCACAATTTCTTGTTTCGTTAAAACATCAAAGTATTCTAGTTCAAAGGTATTATTTGTGGAGCTGTTTCTATTGAAAACACATGACGACTAAATATTTCTGTTTCATTATTAACAATAACATTATATTTTTTCTTTCATAATTAAAGCAACACAGACTTTTATTAATTCACGCTTTTTTTTATATTTGTTATGCTTACAAATTCAAAGCGAATGGGGTTTTTTTATATTTAGTAAAAAGCTAAAAAAAAGTTTTTAATTGAAATATTTATTATTATTAGTTAATATTTAAGTATGTTTTTATTATTATACGTTTGTCATTAAATTCTTTAATTGTTTCCTACCCTTAACTCAACCACTGTTGATAATCATATTTTTATATTGACTTTTCTACAATCTTTACTAGTTTGTTAACACTTTTTTCTGGCTTGTTTATTTTTCAAACTGTGGTTGTCTAGCTGTCCCTTTCACCCTTAGGCTGTGGTCCTAACTCCTAAGCTTATTGGTTACCTTTGTTGACAGGAACTCAAGTCGTGTACATATGTACATATATAATCTCTTAATATAAGAGTTGAATCATTATATTTCAGCAAGTAGACGCACTTTTTGGCTGGCGTAGAAAATACTGTAGAAACAGGAATTGTTAAATCTTAAGGTAGCCCAGAATCGCCGAATATTTTTAGTTATGTTCATAAAACTTGTTTTGGGTTCTCTATACATGTCGTTGTATATATAGGCAGATATATATATATATATATATATATATATATATATATATATATATATATATATATATATATATATATATAACGTTATTGAAGTATTTGGAATTATTAGGCCAAAAAGTTGTGTTCCTTTATTCAGAGAGAATTTAGATAAAAATATTGCGTAATTTATTTCGGCAATTCGGGTTAATTTAATTCTAACCATTTCCCGTTTCGACAGATAACGCCGGTCGCCTTGTTAGCTAGAGTTATCTACCATTTTACTTTTTTTTTTCTATTAGTTAGCCATAGACATACTACAAATAGTAGGATTCTTTACATTAAAATTTAATTATTTTTTAAGCAAGCACGTATGGACATGAAGTTTGTAATCAATAAGTTTTTAATCACTGAATTCTACAAAATAAAACATTGATTTGATGGAGATGTGTGTTTTTGTATTGATTGACTTTACGTGAAGCTGGTGTGAAATTGGTGAAATAATGTATAGCAGCTTTCACAAGGAAATTTGTCGGTTTGTTATGCAGAGATGTTTGTTCCTTGCTTATACGGCGGAGGCATCGCAAACAGCACCATGTGACTGTAAGACAACAGATTAGTTTGCAATGCCATGGGACTAATTACACCCATGTTTGATGGTGTAATTCACAGGGGGTTAATTAAAATACGAACTTTAATTATTAATTATCTAAACTTTTAGTTCTCTAAAAGAGTGTTTTTTTTTTCTTCAATCCAATGATTGATAGCAATCTTGATTATTTAATAGATTTATTAATTACTGTATGAAATGACCCTCTTCATAGGTTATAATTTTAAGATGATTACGAAATTGAAAGCCATAAGTTCTCTTTAATTTCCTCAATTTTTTATACGAATAAATAGGATAAATTTAGAAAGACGTAATATCGAATCCTGCTTTTATTCTGTGTGTTTTATTCCAGGAGATATTTTGTTTTTAAATTATTTTCTCTAGTTAGTCCGTGTTTCGGAACCTATTCAACGTAAATTTTGCTATCAAAACAATGGTTTATCCAGTTAAAATAATTAAAGGAGAAGCGGTGACACTAGAGGGAAAATGCAAAAAAGCTGGAGAGGGTGGATGGCGTCAGCCCCTCAGTTATCGCACCGGGTGACACCCGACCTAGTGACGTCACTTCCTAGCCTGCGCTTGTAATATTGCCCATAGCGACTGCTAGAATACCAATGTGTAAATACAAATCCAGGCTTGTTTTGTTTTGTTTTTTTATTGCGTTTTTATTTTTACTTTTCCGTCTAATGAATAAAGGCGCTATGTGTTTATTTGATTGTATTTGTATAAATATACATAGAAAACCTAACAAAGACAATTTAAAAAAGGCCTGCAAGAGAGAATAAAATAAATTACTTTTTTTCTTTAGTTGGTGCACATTATTTATAGAAATTAGCAGCTGTAATCGATAGGGTGATCAATAAAATTGTGATGATTCAGACCAGTCGTATACTAACTGCGGTAACAAAAGCTTATAGCCTATACAACGTGCTGGTATTGATTGTGTTGGTCACGTGGCGTCCATGCTTGGTGTATACGAGATTGTACGGGATTGTACCTTGTCTGAGCGGTCACTATATATGTATGAGTTCCACGGGGGGAAGCTTAGATACAGTGTAAACAAAGCCATACGTATATATTCTTCAGAGAGATGGTTAGAAACGATTTTTAACAGAAACTATACGTATGACTTCCACACTATTCTACAGGGTAATGGTTAGATACATTATAATCAACAAACTATATTTTGTATTCTACAGGGTAATGGTTAGATACAGTTTAAACAAAAAAAAACATATATGTATGAGTTGTGCTGAGTATTGGTTAGATACTGGCGTCTACACGAACGTCTAGTATAAGCTAGAATGAACAGTGTTGCCTTGGGTTCAGAAAAAAGTGTCAAGTTGAAGTGGCTGTGTTTATTAATACTGAGACTAGTGCCGTAAGCAAAGGCTGAGGCAGATTTATCCCGTCTGGTAAAACTGAAAATACACAGTAGAATTTGTGTATGGGTATTACTATTTTAACATGTTTTATTACTAAATGTCACAAATTTAGTATATTTAATAAAATAATATACATAACTACCAACAACAAACAGCCATACCATATGAGTTCGACCAAGTGTGCAGAATTTGGAATCTTGTTTTAATTACAGTGATTATGTGAGAT